AGTCTGAAAAACACCGTTCTGTCAGGCTGGTTATGGTGCTCTGGTTGGTTTATTCAAGGACAGTCGTGCCCAGGGCGGAAAGAGTTTCCGTGCGTACTGTACACACTGTACTGGGTGAAATAAAACCCAGTAAAAACAATAATGCCCCTGACCAATAAACCACGTACCACACAAAATTTTTCATGTAGTACCCTTTTTGTTTTCTATGCAATTTTCTACACTGCAATTGTCAGTTATATCGCGTTTCATCCACATGCAAATGCAAATGAAAATTCAAAGCAAGAAGGAGACCAGAAAAGGTCACTTTTCTAATACTAATTTAGATAGATACTTTATTGATCCCGTGAGGGAAATTGCAGTGCAACAGCAGCTTAACACAGACAACAAAGCAACAGTGTACTGTAACTAATGATACAATAATACAATCAGTACAGTGAGAAGTGCACTAAGAAGAGTTTCTCACAGCCAGAACAGAACAGTATACCAAAAAAGTCGTATTGCACAATATACAATATTACTGTGTTGGATTTCGTTTTCATTCTTGATCCATGCAATAAACCACGAAGGTTTCTGCACGGAGCTGCGCCACGTTTGTTCAGTAGAAGGCCAGCCATCGAAAATAAAAAAGAGAAAAATTGAAGGATAAGGTTCAAGGTTGGGAATCAGGGATTTTTTTTAAACGTTCAAAAGCATGTGACCTCCAGTATTTTCAGCACAATAACATGGTGAGCAACTCTCTGAACTGAGGGCGTGATTCCAGCCAGATAACTTGTTTTACAGCACATGTAATACTGTACACGTCTCTTAGTGCAAAACAGTTTTGTCACAACAGGCAGACGTTTACTCAGAGATGACCGTCCCCGTGGCTTTTGAAACCAATGAACACTTTAAAAACAGAGAGCAGTGTTTATATGCTAAAAAGGACGAGCTGTAACTGAAACTCGAGGGCTGGAAGATGAAGGATGACTCGCGAGATGATGGGGCTGGGGAAAAACTGCAGTCGAAGCAGAAATCAGGTGGGATTCTTTGATGTTCTGGATAAACATTCATTTTCTATATATACTGGTTTATTTGCATGCCATTTATTTATGCTTTTTATCTCCATTTAACATAATAGTCAGGAAGCTTAATGACCTGGGCATCAACACCTCTCTGCAGTTGGATTATAGATTTCCTGAATGGTACACTAACAGACTGTGAGGTTGATGGAAAACTTCCCTCTACACTGACCATCAATATACAGTAGGTGCCCCTCGGGGCTGTGTGCTTAGCCTAATGCTGTTCTCCTTGTTCACCCGCGATTGTGTGGCCAGACACAGGTCTAACTCCATCTACAAACATGCTGATGACCCTACCATCACTGGCCGAATCACCGCTAATGGTGCCTTGACAATAATCTCTCCTTCAATGTCATCAAAACCAAGGAGCTAGTCATCAATTTTAGAAAGCAGGGTGGAGACCACACCCCTTTTTTTAAGTAGCACGTCTTCGTACTGTACTTCGTAGCTGTGTCAGTATTTTTTTAAAATAATCAGTTTCTCACTGTGTCGCTTTAAATATGCAAATCAAGGGAATTTTAAACATTTGACAAACGCATTTAAAAATACCAGAATCTTCCTGTATTACAAGACCATTGTTGTAGTATCTATTTTATGCAAAGCAAATTCGGAAAGGCGAAAAAGAACCAGGAAATGTTTTTTTTTAAGGGGAACTATGTACTAAGTTGACCTAAGTTGCAAAACAATGTTGGAAACGCTTACTGTCGCAAACATGCACACCTCGGTAATATTTAACAATATTTTTATTTTCACATACTATAAAATACTTGAACATATATCTATTTTTTAAAAAAGTCATTATCCATGTCTTTGTATTAAAATATTGATTTAGTAGGCTTATTAAAACTTTAATTGAACATTTATGATTTGTATTCAATTGAACTGAATTCAAAATACTTAATTCATCTCCAGGAATTCAGATTATAAATAGTAAACACGTCGTGACACCTAATGGTATAAAGGGACACTCCGCCCGGACATTAGCTGGGGTATAAAACATTTACAGTATGTCCTGCCCGAAGACATCCAACTTGAAAACTAAGCACAGATGTATTGAGAGGATCATTTAAAGATAATTTAAACCAAGGTCTCTTAGAAGCAAACACCATCGTCACAAGGGCATACAGCGCAGAATATATTTCAATAAGACATGTGTAAAGAAATGAATAAAATGTTTGCACTTAACGTTTATACTGCCATTATTTAGTGTAAATCATGTCCTGCCCGAAGACACAAGAACAGCAGTATTTAGAATTTAAAGACATTTTTCAAATAAAGTATTAGTTCCAAGCGAAATTTTGACCACGACTATAAGAACATAATCACACAACATACGCTGGGAAATAATGAAGAAATATTGATTTTGTGAACAAAGATTAAGGTAAAGGAACATACGGAATGCGACGTTTTCATTTTGCCAATACATCTTTACTGCTTTACTGCCAATTAGTCTTTACTGCTACAACAGTGCTTTTCTTCCAACGTAAAAGGAACACACGTTGTCTGCGTACTGCAACACAAGTGGCTTGTTAAGAAAAGAGCAGCGTTGGAATACAGAAGACGCTCAATGCTATTTATATCCTAACGAAAATTCGTGTTTTACCCTTCTCCTAAAGGGTTAGACTACATATTCCGTGAGTTAAAATGTATCTACATTCAAATAAAGGAAAAATTCAAAGATGCGGAAGAAACTCACTCAGCGTCCCTCTCTCTCGCAGAACCCGGCGGACAGGTGCGCGGGGCGTGGCCTGCGGATGATGTCATCCGAGTGGGCGCGGCTACAGGCTGACGGTGCGGGTCGCTGTTTTTCTCGGCATCAGGGTAATGACAGTTAATACATTTATTCCGTATTAATATCTGAGACCCACAGGAATGTGAATGAAAGAATTTAGAAATATGTAGCGGAGCTGTGGAGTCTGAAGTTCTCAGCAGGACACTGTTCTATAACCTGATTTATCTAAATGATGCGCCAAGAAGTCAGATTCTTCATCTGTAAAGGTTTATCATACACTCAATTTACTCTTTGTACTTCTGATTAGTCATACTGCCGACCTGTTCTTTTAAGAACGTGAGACAGCTCAAATGAGAGGACAGTAATCGATCCATGTAGCCCTTTTGGTTACTGGTATCAGTTTGATTCGATAATCTCATGCGTGAAAGAAGACAGGCTATTGGTTTCGACAAAATGGCTGCGTCGCCCGTGCCATTCTCCCACAACTCTTTGTGTACAGAACTTTTAAACCCAGTTCCCAATGACATCCTTTCACATTTCTCTTGGTTAATGTCAAAGTAGTTTACGCTGTATTACTGCAACTTAATGTTTTTAACTGGTTAACTGCATTAAATACTTAACTCATTAGCACACTTTTGAACACTAGTGCACTGTTCTGAAGTACATATTCAAATCAATTCAAATTTCTCAACCTCAGTGCAACCCAAACTCTAAGCTTCAATCCTGTCCCTCATCTTTATTCTGTATTCGGATAAAAGATCAGGAAAGCTGGAGTTTACAACAGAGGAATTGGAAGAATATTTGTAAAAACCCACAGTGACCACAGACATGAGGCGGAGCAGGAGGCTATGGCTATACTAAAACCGGATGAACCCACCATTCCTTATGAAGCGCCGGAACCTACCTGCAAGGAGATGAACAAATTCCTAAAAGGGCTAGATCAGGATCAGTGCCAGAGCTAAATGGTGTCCCGTACAAGGCTCACATCTACTGCGAGAGGCTCTGGCAGAGGCTCTGGAAGCTGTCGACAGCAGCAGGGAGGAAGAACGAACTCGGCGGATTGCAAAGAGGTGTGTGACCTCACTGGGGTGGCGGCTGCCACTGTGGAAATCAACAGGCTAATCCGACCCTCCGGACACAGCCTGCTGGGGAACTTTTTTCTTTCTTTACCCGCACTGGGCTCCGAGAGTGGTGATGGTCACGGCGCCCATCATCAGAGCATTCCTGACATGTGGAGCACATGCAACGGATGGCTGAGCTCCCATCCTGTGGACTCTTGGGTCCAGAGTCTACAATTTGCCCTCCTCTCTGATCTTCTCCGCGATCCCTACCAGTCTTTAGGGTGCTGGGATTATTGGGATTATGGCTCAAAGGCCTGAAACACTGACACTTTGCTGGAGCTGCTATTTCCTACCCCAGGGTCAGGAGCAGGTCTCTGTGACCTGAACTACTGTAGGATCCAGTCGAAGGACAGCGAAGTCAGTAAGTAAACAGACGCAGCTTGTCACCCGTTTTCTCATCCTGACGCCTCAGTAAGATCTGGTTCAGTGTAGCTTCCTTCTGATTTTACAAAGTGTACAATTACAAATCCCCAGTATGGTTATATGTCCACGAGAAAGCAAAGACAGCATGTTACTAAAAAAAAAACATTTTATAAATGGATGGATTTATAAACCCCGGTGTGTCCAATCAAGAGTACTTTTATCTTTGTAGAACAGGATATCACTACAAGGCTTCACTTGGGACTTATTGTATCAGAGTGGCAAATGGAGAGATGTCTGTCTTGTGCTTGACGGGTTATGCTTTTAACTGTTCAGTACGTTTCTGGTGTGTCACCTCTAGTTCACTTCTAATTCAAGGTCCTTTTCCACGTCTCCAACGGATAACCGGGTGTTGTCATTTTTCGCACAAGGATTTTAAATCCTATGCCAAATAAATAAAAAAAAACAAAAGGAGTTTGTATTTCTTGGCACCACTAAATACTGCTCTTATCTGCCAAGGACATGAAAAACAGATTAATTTCTTTAAAATGTTGCCCCTGAGTCTCAGTGATGGCTTTTATGAGCTGCCTATGCTCATACTGTATTTCAGTCCTGTTTACCATTGGGAAATTTAAAAACTCACTTCTAATCATCCAGGAGTCGTTAAGGATCCTGCTTTTAAATGCGATGTGCAGTTTAAGGAAATTAATCCAGAGCATTCAGCAGAACTTTAGCTCTTACCTTTATTCAGCTTCTACTGTAGTTCACACCATCTCCCCAACACTGAATCAACAGACAAAGGTCTGTGTTATGCAGTTATCATCCATTCTGAAAGTTTGTTCATTTCCCATTTTAAGAGCTATTTAGCCGTTTTGATTTTGTTCACATTGTAAATTATTGCATACATAAGTAATGAAACACGAAATACTTATTAAGCATGCTGTTAATGTGGACGTCAAAAAAGTTTTTTTTTTGCATTTACCAGAGTACAGCAATTCAGTTTTTGTGGTAGATTTTTCAACTAGAAAGTACTTGGTATTACTGACATTAAGTGTAGTTTGGGATGTCACAATATAGTCCATAAATTATTTTAGAGGAGTAACCTGAAAGGCCATCGAAACAGTTTAATATCTGCCTTCAAGATTCAAGCAGGGAACGAGAACATTTAATAAGCATAAAACATATGTTCTCCTTTCAAACAGAGGAACTTTCTTTTATTCCTTGACCCTTGTGTGCACAACTATTAATATAAAATTTAATGAACAATGTACAGAGGTTTGCTAGAAGTAAATTGCCTGCAAAGTTATTCTCTTACCAGTTTAAATAGGTCAGAAATCCTGCAGTTTAGAGACCCAGTGCACACAGACCTGAAAGTCCATTCAATAGGATGAGCGTTTGAGGAAAATATGCAGAAAGACACATTTGGTTGTGTTACTCAGCCCTGGCCCTGGAGTGCTACAGTGCATCACTACATGTTCACACTGTCAATGCATGAAGACCTGGAAACAGTGCTAACAGAGCCCTTAGAAGTGAACAAAGAATTTAAATCAAGTCACGAAAGACTAAAAACCAGCAGACACAGTGCCCCCTCTAGGACTAGGAATGAACATCAGCAGGATCGAGGATTATAGAGGAAATTTTAAAAAATGACATTCCCGTTAGACCATAATATAAAAAGTTGAAAACACATTTTGATCCTTAATCTAGAACAAAATGAAACACTTTGAAGAGATGGAATTCATGTGGTCATGCATCCCAAAGACATTAGAAAAAATTTAAGAAACGTGTAAAATCGTATCAAGATGCCCTTCTCTCTGAACATCCTGGCCACAGCTCTCCAAGAGAGTAAAGTCCAAAGTCCTGCTGAGGCCTCCAGAGAAGACAGATAAATCTTTTGTGAGCCACTGGAGGACAGTAATGCAGGCAAAATAATTCTCAAATTACCTCGCTGTTTCCAAAAAATAAACAAAATCACACTGCTAAGACCAATATTTCTTTGCCTGTTTATATTGCCTTTCAGAGCTTGATTCCTCACCTGCTCTTACTGCTTAAGTTCCTCTTCCGAGGTGCTGACCACAGACCTGCCGAGGAAGAGACCAGTGTAGTGTTCTACTTTGCTCAGACCTGCTTCTGCTCAGTGAGCTGCTGTAGGCCTGGAGTCACTTACAGGGCTCAGGTCTATATTGTGTCACCCCTGGGATAACACCCCATTGTGTTAGCGAACGTGAAGTCATAGGGAATTTAAAAAAGAAAAGCAAAATCACCCATATCTTAAAACACTCATACAGTATGTAAAAGGAGGAAAGAAATGCATCCTTGTCACAGACGTTCCAGCAGTTTCTCTTCTCCAGTACGCCTTGTCCTGAAGAGGGCGAATGTTAAAATGTTTGTGGGCTTGGGTCCGAGCATCATGTCATTGTAGAGCTAGAGTGTGACACCATAAAGGTGACATCCTACAAACTGTCTTATCATGCTGAAAATTAGCTTCATGCAAATCTCTCTTGGCGTGAACCTAAAATAATTTCCAACTTCGTCGTCATGACAGTTACTACACAGTGCGCTTTCCAGCGTGTTTCAGTCACTGAGTGTTTGAAGCGATGGGTGACGCGCTACAAGCAGGAGACATTTACACCTTGGAACGCCACTGGGCTACAGGACGTGCGGCAGGAAACCGAAGCAGTCAAATCAATCAATGAGGGGAAAAAATCTATAGGAAGCAGCCACAGCTGTCTTTGCACAGGACACGTCACAAAAGACAAACACGCAGTTCTACTTCGCTAAGGTCACGATTGCTGCGGGCTGACTTGGCTCATGAGACGTACAGGAGACTGCCGGCGAGATATCCAGGAGTGGGACCGCGGCACGCTTTCACTGTTGGCTCTTTCCAGGAATGGAGACTCCACCCTTCTTCCTACCAGCCAGCTGGCTTTTTCTTGGCTTCAGTCCCTGCAACAACAACGACAAAAAAAAACCACTGAGGTTCAGAGAGCTAGTATCTTCAATTTCACCACAGACGCTGTCATCATCAGGGTCCTTCTGCTTCTGTGTATAATGGAGTTCCTACCTAATGTACATACTTCTGTCATTTCATGTCAGCTTTTTTTAATAAAAAAATAAAATACAGTGCATAAACAACTGCTCCAATTTAGTTGGTCTTCAAATTCTAGTGCGCGATACTACCCAGATCAATACATTTTGCTGTAATACTGACTATTCAATATGGTGCATTGTGAGATTTCTCTCATTATCCAGTGTCATTCTCATCCAGACAAGAAAGTGGTCATCTGGGAATAAACACACTTCAATTGAGTTAGGAGTTTTGCAGACAGTTCGCACAGATCTTTAAGAGTTGTTTGTTTTTTTTAGGACGGACTGCCCAGAGACCACAGGAAAGAGAAGCCTCAAAGGCAGTTAAGCAATCACAGTCAAGGCGCATGACCCCTGTGGGAAAACTGGAAACTTCTTTTAATAGAATGAGTTTTTTAAGAGAAATGCAAGCCTCAGTGTACTGCAGATCAGGTGGCTTGTATGAATTAAGCTGCAGTGACCTTAAGCTCGCTCACACTACGGAGCCAGGTCTTGCTATCAACTGGTCTTGAGAGAAATGTCACATATATTGTTAATTACGAATCCTGTCAGCATGAGGAAAGTCCACGGTACGGAGAGACACATTGATCTCTCTCACTCTTTATCCGCTGAATGTACAGAAAGAGTCTCATAGGAAGCTGCACTGTCAGTCGGTTCACTAGAATTCAGCACACGACATAATAAAAAGGAAAGAGGAATAAAAAGGGAAAGAGGGAAAATATTGAAATGAGGAATGAAGGGGATTTTATTTTCGGTTTTGCATCCAGAACATCAGTTCAAACTTTTTTGCACCGGTTCTGTAGTGTACCTTTTTACTGCTGTAACCACAACTGAAGTACCTCTATTCCTGTCATTGCTACTGATAAACAAAATGTAAGAATACAGTATATAAAGTGTTTTCAATGCATCCCAGAGAGGTTTACGGGACTAAAAAACAGGCCCAATCCTCTTAACAATTACAAAAAGGCCTACTATAAAAGTCTTGAATTTCTGCTGTAACTTAGGAGGAACTGTTAATCTTTTTTTTTTCTGTATGACTAAGGCACGGCAATCTAATTCCACCTACGCTGGGTTCGGGTTAGCATGACGTGACATGAAACGGCACTGACTTGTCCATTTCCTCGCCTTGCCCCGAGCGACAGAGGCAGCCGCCACAGGGAGAGGAAACCCGGAGACGAGGAGGAGGAAACGACGCAGCGCACGTTTCCGGGGGAGGAGAGGATGGACAGGAAGTGCACCAGGTGCAGTCGGAAACGGATGGAAGGGTAGTGACAGAGCCGATGGATCCCGTTAGTTGAAGCACAAGAGGGAAGCAGGGGAAGGTGATGGATCTGAGAATTAACAGATTCAGAAGGAGACGGGAAAAATACCATTTGGGGTTCGAGTTAACCCCTCTTACTCCGCTACAGGGGCACCCGGATTCTCTTTGTTTTCAGACGGAATGGCTAGGTAGTCCGTCCTGTACAGGGGTACAAAAAGAAAGAGAACTAAGCAGAAGGCCGAGCACCCCAGGGGACAGCAGGCAGGGGTGGGCTCGTCGCCGGCCGCGATCCCGACCTCTGCTGGGAAAAATCGAAAGCTGTGCTTCAAGTCCTGCTCAGGTGCAGCAGGGTCCCCGAGTGAGGCTCTCGGGAGTCTCTTTTCCTTAAACACCAACATCCGGCAAAAGGGCGGAGCAAAATATTGTTAAAACCCGGTCAGGTCACGTCAATGAAAAAGGAGCTGTCTTCCCTATCCTGCTGGGTAAACTGATGCTTCGGCCCTCTTTTGTTCCAAGTACTCTCATGGTCCCGTTTGCTGTTTTGCTGCTTGAGGGTTGGGAGATTGCTGACCGCACAATTTGCAGGGCCTTCTTGCAAGGCTAGTCTCTCCGGACTCCAGAGAAGACGGAAGTTAATTATTTGAATGTCGGCAGGTATATATATATACTCTACAAATTGAACCAAGGTCACCCTACCTTAGACAGGGCTTTAGAAAACCGTACAGGCTGATTCCTGCTGACAATGCTTTTATCAGTGCAAAAGACCATAGACATAGAAATAAACTGGATTGGAACCCAAATTTTCTATGTAGGGTTTTTATGCCACAGATATCAGTAACATAACATTCATGAGTCAAATGCTGGCAGGTTAGAAAGCTGAAAAGCTGAATAACTTGACAACGCAAATCGATGTGAGTATTTCTCCTCTGAGTGGACAGATCTCAGCTCGCGCCTAGCAATACACTGCTGGCCAACAGGTCACAAGGCACAGTCAATTTCCATTTTATGCGGTGTCACTAAAGCCTCGGTCACTCATGATCTTCCCCCATTCCCACTCCCTCGGCTTCTCCACAGACCCCATTGTGAGGTTCAGGAAGTGTCTTTCAAACCGCGTTAAAAAACACTGTAGCTCCTCCATCGGCCTTGGAACTAACAAAGCCTCTCTTAAGTAGAACTTACGCATTGTCCTGTGCTGCCTCGTCTGCCTTGGATATCTTTCTGTAGCAGTAGATCATCTCAACCAGGAGCCAGAAGGTCAGGAACACCAGCAGGATGTACATCATTATCTCTGAGTAGACCGCAGTGAAGTCTTGGCTGGCTGTGTGAAACACGTTCTGGGTCAGAAATTGCAAATCGGCAACGCTTTTCTTGTAACAAGCCCCTAACGTGCTAAAACCAGGGTTAAATTATGTTTGCAGGAATGTTCAATGAAAACAGTGGCAAACTACAGTAGATTACATGAAGTCCATTTTGAGGGAATTACTTGGTCTAGAAAAAATGTTTTATCACCAGGCAATGACTGGTTAACACTGGTATTTGATAAACAATGGCAAAAAATGAACTTAATCACATTTTGTAGACTTGCACGCTCTTTAAGAATGTATTTCCAGGGTGTATGTACCACTGATTCATCCTAGAGCAGTAGAAAAGATTTAGAAAGATTTAGTTTATTCAGCAGGTGGCAATACTTTGGAATTATCTGAGTTACTACTGAACAAACTTTAGAAATGTATCATTGATAAAGAAGCGTAATTTACTACACAATCATTGAAAAATGGTGAAACTATCTCCTAATAATTATGAGCCAGCAAGATATTCATGAATTTACCTTGCTGGAGAAACTGTATGTAACAGAACAATCACACTGATCTTACACACCTTTCATGTCAAAAATTGCATTTAAATGCATAAAAAGCCAGATTTGGAAACAAAACCTCAAAGAGAGAGGACCAGAACCAGCTATCAGCTACTTAAGTTCATGTCCTGTGTAACAGAACTAGGAGATAAGAGTTACTGATGTTATCTCTGGAGATAAATGTCCCAACACACAAGCCCGCTGCAGAACTTTGTCAACAACACCAATAGCTGATTTAACCATGAATGTGGGGCACTTCTCTGCAACCCCCAGAGCAGGGGCTCCCAATCCTGGTCCCAGACACCCACACACCTGCAGGTTTGTGTTCCAGCCCACCTCTCAGTTACACAACTGAAGTATTAATTGATTTAAGAGTACAATCAACAGGAACTGTTTGACTGTTTTCAGCTCTTACATGTGTTAGACGTTAACTGACGTTTATGACTGTATTTCATATGTAAACTAAAGTCAACATTGCAAATTTTTCGAACAGGCCACCCATTCGTTCAATTAAGGCTCTGATTATATTAGAACCTACCACGTATTTATTGTTCTGGTTGTTTACTGACTGTACATGCTATCACTATTTACAGCTTTGTAATGTACTGTCTACATTGCGTGGTGCTGTCTGTACTGTGCTGTCCTGAGATCAGCACGCATCAGCATTCCAATGTACGCGCACATGTGGAAATAACCTCCTGTGCTCTGCTCTAGATATGTAAGTTGGGCTGGAATGAACACCAGCAATGTCATGCCCTCCGCAGCCAGATGGTGCTCCTACTCCGTCCTGTCCCGAGTTTCCTGTGCTTTGCTGTCCTTCCGGTGTCTCTCTCTGTGGGGCTATATATTTCCGGGTCTCTCATTCACCTTTGCTCAGTATTGACGTTCGGATGTCCTGAGACTCGCCTAGTACCAGGTCGCCCCACGTCCGCTGCCTGAGGGCATTGGTTTCTATATGACTCCTGAACTACTGAGCCCGGGCTAACCCCCTGTTCCGCCGCTACGCATAGGGTCTATTTCCGCTCTCCTGCCTCTCCAAGGTTCGTCCTTTCCGACATCCGTGAGAAGCAGGTGTGTGAGTCACTAGGACCAATGTTGGGAACCCCTGCCCCAAGAGTGCATGTTAATGGAGGACACTGTTTCTGGCCTTGCAGTGAAGCACTGCCAGAGCCTCACCTTCCTTATTCACCACCAGCTCGATGGTCTTGGTGTCCACGTAGTTGTGCTGGAACACGTTGAAGGTGAAGGACCTCATGACCTTGCAGGTGTAGGTGCCCGTGTCGTTCAGCGTGGCGTTGATGATGCTGATGGACACGTCCTGCAGGTCCTTGCTCCCGTTCCACTGCAGCCGGCCCTTCCACGGCCCCTCCAGGTCCTGTGGCTGACGGTCGTACAGGTAGATCTGCCAGCGGGAAACCGGGAGAAGGCACAGCGCGTTAGTGGCCTGCTCTCCAGAGCGAGAAGCTCAGAGCGCTTCTCAAGATTAGGATGTTCTAGATTCTGGAACATTTCCTCCAAAAGTATTTTAGCAGTACTATTTTCTTTTTCTTTTTCATTGACTTTTTCTATAGAATATATACAATATATACACAAAACGTTTGACACTTTTCAGCTGAAACTACACCATCCTGTTAGTTTTAATCAATATTGTGTATTGAACCATTTTATCAATAATGTGTTTCCCAAGTTTATGTGCCACTGATTCATCCTACAATCCAGGCCTTTTTTGCAACAAAAATTGTCTTCTCAAGCTTGACATCTTAAAAAGTAGTCAATCCCACTGTAATGTATAAATGTAATCTTCTGTCTCATTGTTGAGACTGATAAGCACAAATATCCACTAATTGTTTTTTTTCCAAAAGAAAGGTGATCTTTGCCAAGCACCAAGATCGGGCAAAGGCTTGAGCAAAATGTTCTAAAACCCTGTAAAATCACATCAACGAAAAAGGAACTGTCCTTCCTGTCCCGCTAACAAAACTGATGCCTTTGCCGTTTTTTGTGCTATCATTGTTATCACAGTACAAGATCGGTGTAATCACCACTCTTTCACGAGTTTCTGATTAAACATGGAAAAGCCAAAAGCCTGAATGAGACTTGGGGATCTTCATCTCATTCCAAGGCTGGTTTGTCTCAGCCTGTTCAGGACATTAAGCAAAGTGTGATTCTGCCCACTAGTGGTGATTGGGGTTGTTAGTATGGTCATTGATCGCTAAAAAGTGTTTAATCAACGTGAAATGTGTGAATGGAAGAGCCTCTCACTGCAGCATTCAAAGGTGTCAACATGCGCTGATATAACAAAACGTAGCTTTTCTCTGATTCCATACCTTTTCACATGTTTAAGCTCCATAAAATTGAAAGAGCTGTTATGATGGAGAATTTATTATTAGACTCACTGGCACAGATTCTTGATCTGATTCTTGCAAATAAGCCATTTTCTACTATCAGTTAAGCCCAATCCTTGTGGACCGGCTAAAATTATTTTTTATTAATCAGAAGGGTAAGGTCTGGATAAAAAGATCTAGATTCTGCCTTTATATGACACAAATGCAAGAGCTGCTATAAATATCACAAAGATGCTAAGAATAAAATGAACAAAATCTGACAGATGTAGGTTTGCCTCAATGCTGTGTGCACACATATCACGAGGTGAAAAGACCGAGATTGGTGGAAAAAATTGCATCACATTTTATTTTTTGCTGCTGAATTTACTTTGAAATTTTGCAGGAGGATACTTCTTTCTCAATGCTACATCCTGTCCCTAAGGATGTTTCCCGAGCTGAATTGTCTTAGAAGAAAGCTTAGAAAACAAATATCTTAAAGAATCTTGTGTCACATGAGCAAGAGGATTGACTGCTAAGAGCTGACTGACCTGCCCTACTTTTCCTCCTTTTATAACAATTTGTCAAGCTTACTTCATAGGTATTTTGCAGCAGAACAATCAGATACTATAAATTATAACAAATAAATGTTTCCCACCATCATACTAGAACTGAAACCTGACTACTTTCTCAATGAAAGTCACTGGGAAGTAAAGTCCATAGTAAAAGTAGATTGAAGTGGGACATACTGTATATATGTATTGCAAATATCCAGTACAGGAATATTACTTCTGAACCACATTGTGGAAGATAGTAGAGTAATTGCTGGGGACACTTTGACCAAAAGGTATAGTATAAAACAGCAAGGTGACTTGCTTTAACAGCTTCAGCAACTAATTTCCTTCTACAAGGTGTTAAGAGTAGAAGTAATCACATCTAAAGACATGACTAACACTGAGCTCATTAAAAACAGACAGAAAGATCTGCACAAGACTGAGCCCTGCTCCTCCGATTCCCCTCAACACAGACCTACCAGGGTGTCCTCCTCTGCGGAGTTGAAGTACCATTCGACCCGCGTATCGGGCTCAATCTCCTCCCTGCTGATGCAGGAGATGCAGGTGAGCTTCATGGGGTTCCCCTGCACCGCCTGGGTGTCGGACAGCACCTCCACGCACACGGGCTCGCCCACCTCCACTGCGGGGACCAGAGAGCACAGACACGCCCCATCAGCCGCAGGTCCAAGCCCGCCTGCTCCGCCGCCCGCTGCTGCACAAACTGCAGAGCGGTGAGCACCGACCTCACACTCCCCCAGGAGGGCATTTTAAGGTCATTATTTGGCTTTTGCTGGCATTTCTATCCAAAGCTACTTATACTGCATACTGAATACACACCAGGGCATTTTACTGAGGCAATCTGGCCGAAATGCTTTGCTGAAGCAAACAACAACTGTGGCCACACCCAGGATTGGATCTGACAGCCTTCCAATTACCAGTGGGTGCAGAGACCAGACCAGTACTCCGCACTGCTGCTCTAATGAAAGTGTGAACCAGTCAGACATCTACTCTTAAGAACGGGCAAACTCAGGACAGAAAACATGCGGGAGATAGATTTATTTTGTGGTATCTTGCAAGAGTTTCTCCTTTATGCTGCTTTGCGTGTATCCTTTCAGGAATGGAAAGGAGGGGACAGGTTTTACCCAGGATCACAAATCAAAGCCTTTTGATATTTTTCTTGTGACAAAGACATTCCAAACCACCCTTACAGATCAGGCTCATCTAGATAAGCAGGGAGACGTTTTTACATCAAATGAGAAAAATGATTGAGAAACGCTGTGAGGGGAGTGGGCCACTGATCTGCTCTGTCTCTTTTAACGTACACAGTGCTCGGGATAAAAGCAAGAATGATTGCTGTGCATTTGGCATCTGTTTTTAAAGGCTGAAGGCAGTTTTGTGGCAATCCTGGTATTGTCAAAACTAGCACCAATACAAAAAGACATGCATCAAAAATAAGGGACAGCAGGGCCAGTCTTATTTGCAATCGTAACTGCCAGTGAAACAAAAATCAAGAGAAAGTAATACATTTAGGATTTAGGAGAAAGTAATTAAAGTTACTGGAGGTGGGTTTAAGAATGAAATCCAAGCCGTGTTAGTTTGAATGTTCTGGTTTTATGCAATTACTCACTTGGAGATAGAAGTTTGGCTGGGTTAGCACTGCTGTATCTTCCAGAGAAGTTGAAAGCCACCCAGTTAATGTTCAAAGTGTGCCCAGGGTTTCTGATTAGAAATATATCTTCAGTGTACAGGACACACAGCTCCAGACAACGAAAACGGCACATATCTACCAGTAATTAACTGCATTTCTGTGGCTCCTCTGGATCATTTTGATCTGCATATGCTTTCCGGAACTGCTTTGGAAAGGATTAATCTCAAACCCTGCTCTGCTGTTTCTCGGTAAATTCTCTCTTTTATCCTCAGTGTGGTTTTGGCTGCTGCTGCTATTTTATTTTTACTTATGAAAAATAGTTATTCCAGCATCGCAGGCTTTGGTTTAACTCGTAGTAATGTTCCTGATGCCTATTTTCAACTCTCTTCAGCACTTCAAAAAGATTAGACTCTTGAGAGAACTCACAGCACAGCTGCTTGCCCTATCACATCATCTATTTAGAGAAACCCTTTATATAGAATATGAATCCCTGTACTGTAAAACCAATTTATTTCACTAATGAACATCAAGGTACGTTTGAGGAAAGTATGGATTGTACAGTAAAGGTGAAATGATGGGAGGTTTTTGGCTCATAAAGCTAGCCTGTTTTACAGTATCTCCGTGTTTCTTAAGGAGATAAAAGGGTTCATGAGGTTTAGGAAAGAAAACCACTTGGGAGACGGCTACAGAAATATCTACAACGAGACCAAGATAGGTCAGGAATTAAAACATGTAGCCAACTTATGCCTGGGTCTGTTACATAAGCCTCGTTAATACAGGGCAACTGATTGGGGGAAATAATTAGGTTAGGCATTAGAGTAATAACACTGTGCAGACTAATTAGTATCCATCAGTACCTGATATACTGTATATACAGTATATTTTAAAGGTATATAAATACTGTATGTAGCACATAGCCTATGGAGGATCAGACAGAACAGCCCGCACTACCAGGGACGAATTTACATTTTGTGCAAATGTAGGCCTGACTGGTTTTGGCATTTGGGGTGTGTCCGTGAAGTGTCTGCTCAAGAAGGCAGCAACACTAAACTTTAAGACAGACACGATCCGTTATTTATGTCAGAAAACACTGGAGAATCCGTGATGCCCAAGGGTCGGGCTCGTTTGGCTTTCCAGCACACCAGACTGGTTTCTTATGGCGGACTATCGGTGCAGCGGATGTGGAGAGTAGATTTATTTTCACCGCGATCTCTTGAATGCCGTGGTAAAATATTCATGCGACATTAACTCGCGCCAAGTAAGAAATTAAAACCTCATCACTTACAAGCAAAGGCACAGAGACTTCAAGGTTCGTGTAATGGCTTTGTACAAACTTTTCTCCTCCGCACTGAGCAAAAAGCGATTTGTAACTGTCCGACCTGTTACATGTTAAAAAAAACTCCACTTCCTATAATTATGGACGGCTTTTAGTATTTTTTTTCTCTCGCTGCTGTTCTATGTTCTAGTTACCTGCTTGCGTATTGCAACAGGCGCAGTAGGCGCCGTGTGTACAGTAATTTACTGTACGAATTCTGCTCGTAATGGTCATTCTTCGCTTTTAACTTATTGCTCACATACCGTATTTAGCAATGTGTCCGCCTCAGGAACGCGTTACAACTTCTCGCCCGCCGGGGCAGCTCCAGTTTAAGCCGCTGGCGTTCTGCACGAAAACGGTGATCTGCCCGGAATTAACGTCAGTCAAAATACACACGTGTCAAAATGCCAACCCTTCGCTTGGTACAATTTCCTCTATTGTTATCCATCTAAATGAGCGCTTAGAATCATCGACATGATCGTGGCTGCAAACGTGCTGTTTGGCTCACAAACGGCCAGGTGACGGCGGATTCAGCTCGCAGGAGTTCACTCGAGCCGAGCCCACCGTGTGCTCAGGGCTGTGCTGAAACGTCGAGAACCAGATCGTTTTCCTCTCGTAGAATCGCGCTGCCATCACCGGCTCCGACGGTGAATCGCGCACTTGTCGAAAGGCGCTTTTTTGCTTTTCATTTTTGTATTCAGCAGAAAAACAACGTTGCGTTCAAGCAAGGGCGAGGCGAGTCTTGCCTTGTCATTAAAGAAAAAATAAAATCAATTTGACCTGGACTGCGGCTCTGCATGAAGACATTGTGTTGGAAAACCACACTGTTGTTAACGTGAGTTGATTGTAACAACACATCCTCCTCCAAACATCGAGTTCATGATTTGATTCCTCTAAGGGCAAAGGAGTCGCCAACAGTCTATAGCTTTTGGTTTTGCTATAAACACCTGTACACTATGCTTATTCGTAATATTCTGTAGCGAGTAATGGATAATTCGTGGATGAGACACCATTTCGCACCATCATCGAGAGCCACCTGGGAAGACAGACATACAGTACAGTACACAGGACCAGATTCGTTTTGACGTGCGAGAGCGAACTACAGTGTAAACCCTGTTTTGACGCTCTTTTGGTTCATCCCAATTCCATCGCATTTGCAACAACACTTTGCGCTACAAACAAGCGACTTTCTCGTCTTGCTGGGGAGATAAGAGTGACGGTTTAAGCTGTTGTTATTAAACCATGTGACACCGCTAAGCACGAAGTTGGAGCACGGCGCTCTGTAACGTCGCCCAGACTCACAGAGGAGTTGAATTTGGGGTGTACTGTACTGTATGTACTGCGCTAAGGAAACAAGATTTGATGGCTTGCTATTGTATTTCACGAGTCAGATCAGTAAACCCACTTAAACCGATTTCAACTGCCAAAACTGGGGAATGAAACTAGCATTACATGGAGCCCGTATGTCAAATCGCTATTACCAGGTCGTGAATCGTGTTCTTGATGGAGTGCCGTACAGCACACCGGCCATTACTTACCTGCCAACACCAACAGGGGCAGCGAATACAAGAGTGCCCTTAAAGGATGCATCCTGCTCCGAGGTCAGAGTCCCACTAATCGTCGGGCTCTTATGGCTTTCCTGTATCTAATAAGACAGAAAAGAAACAGGGTTTCCCAACAGGCTCGCGTTTTATTGATCCGCGGTGGAAATGGAAAAGTTACAAATGACAAGCTGTCCCCCGGGATGTCCGCCCTGTAGGGTGTGTGCACAGGTGCGAATGAGACTTGATCCCGCTGGGTGAAAGATGGCTTTTTTTTCTTCCTTCTCCTCGGCGATCTCAGTGACGGGAGAACCGCTACTCGGCGCTCCAGTTGTCTTCAGGACTACGACCAAGGACAGCGCCTCGCAGGCTGGCGCAAAACAAAGCGCTCTGTGGATCAGAGCGATCCTTTCTTTAAAACTACCACGTGATTCGACAAAAAAAATCCTATTAAAAAAACAACCCTCTCCAGAAACATGTTCGCGTGTTAAACTCTTGCCCACCAGTGTTCGGCGCTTTTGGAAACAATTTCCCATCCGCAAGGCTTCGCCTATATTTTGCTGTGGTTTACCGACTCTTTTAAGCAACGACAGTTTCCACACTCAAATATCTTCTCCATTAGGAACGAGTGGTGTTGTTTAAAGGGAAGCGCTGCTCTTAGTCGGATCACTTGGCTCTGCTCCCGGCTACTTCGGCTCGGCGACCGGGGCTCGTCGCGTTGGCATGGCGAGCTCCCTGGTCTGGCACGCCGTGCTTGTCGAAGACAAAGCCCAAGTTAGGGTCTGAAAACCTGTAGATTCCGCTCAGTACCAGATCTTAGTCTCGGGCTTTCTTTATCTTTTGCTTCGGAACAAAACCCAAAGCCTTCTCTAGCTCTAGAAAAAAAAATCGGTTACAAAAATAAAGGGGTGAAAAAGGGGTTATCCAACGATTAAATGCGACGCAGGCAGATTAATTTAATTGTAAAAAAAAAAACACGCCAAGGGAATTGTGCTGTGTTATCGGAGAATGCGTTTCCTTCTCTCCTTTTACATCGCGCTGAATGATCCTTTTCGCTCCCGAAGCCGTGCGTGTTTCGTGGTTTCTTTTGTGTTGAGAGTAAGGCTGTCACATCAGTGTTTCCAGAACATGAAACTCATGGACGCGCATGCGTCTACGCCGCTCCCACTACTGCCTACTACTCGAATACCAGCTTCCACTGGTTTTATTTATGTCACAGACGAGCGCTGGGGGGGTGTCTTTCTGTTGTGATAGTGAGGTCTGGGCACGGAGCCCTAGCCCGGGTCTGTTGTTAGGTCTGTGGTTTTTCCAAATCGCCGTCTCCCTCCCACTGTGGCCTCAGCAGTGAAACACCCCCCGCCCTGATTCGGATCAGACTCCAGACTCCAGAACCGGTCTGTAGAAGAAGTGTGTGTTCGTGGCAGGCAAGCGGGAGACCAGTCAAATAACAAGGGCGTATAAAAAGGTGACACGTTTTCCCTGTGCATGAAAACATGCATGGATTTAAAAATGGGGAGCTGGGCTTAGTAAGTGATAAAGAATGGCCTGGCGTATAGCCACTGACGACACTGAAAAGTATACCATGGGTGTATTTTTATAACACTGTAAAACAGTAATAAAATGAAGATGACTGCAGCTGCCTCCTCTTTACTTGTATCAATTGTGAGGGCAATATGAGACACACCGGAACTGAGCACTAAGTTATTAGAGCAGTGGGTTGTTTCAGCCCTGAGTGCACTGAGAAGTCTTTGTTTCAGCACTGAGAAGCTCTAGGACGTCTTTCTCACGGGGCAGGGGGGTATGTTTCGGGGGACAGGGGTTCATTTGCACACGGAGCGCGAGTGTACTGTGTGTGCTGGCAAAGCCCAACGTCTGGATTTCGTCTTTTGACGAATTTTTTCCCCCGACTTCTGAATGTCATCTAATTGCTGGAATTGCATTTTTTTTGGCGTTCCCAAGCTCTGTACTGCAGCTGCTTACCCACCGGAGGACTTGCCACTCCCTTTTCTATTCTATTCTACTTCTAAATCAGATCCAGCCCCACAGGGTAAAGTAATCGCTGCCTAATCTACAAGTCCCACTCTCCGTCTACAGCAGCCACACTGCAGATGTCCTCCCGTTGTGAGAGGTGCAGCAGTGCTGTTAAAACCAGTCTCTGAGCGTGGCTAGATACTGTAGGAAGGCATGTTGAGCTTGAACTGTCCATCACCCTTCTGCCACAGTACTGCCTTGCTTCAACCCAATCCAAGATGGAGGTGGGGGCTCTGTGGCTAAGGATCTGCACCTGTGGCTGGAAGGTTGCTGGTTCAAAGCCCCCGGCTGGTGGAGGAATCCTACTCCATTGGGCCCCTGAGCAAGGCCCTTCACCCCAACTGCTCCAGGGGCGCCGTACAATGGCTGAACCTGTGCTCTGACCCCAAGCTTCTCTCCCTGTCTGTGTGTCTCATGGAGAGCAAGCTGGGGTATGAGAAAAGACAAATTCCTAATGCAAGAAATAGTAGGGTTAATAAAGTGATCTTATCTTATAAGTGCACACGTTTGGGCTTTGCAGAGCTGCCACTTGATCCAGACTCATGTGGAAGAGCCTGAACTATTTTTCTGTCCTTGGGCTGGACACTCAGCCCAGAGCACTGGTGTCTTTATTCACATTCTTTCGTTGGTCAGAGCTTGTCAACGGTGGGAGATCCCGCGGGTTTTGTGGAAAAGACGCATCATGGCTGAAATGTACTGTGGTTGGCACTTAAGGTAGGCAACAACATTACTAGACCGAGGACGGGAGCAGACGAATTTTCACCAAAGCGTGAACAATTCCCAGAAACGAGAAAAGAAGACGGGGCGGCGTGGGGGAGTTTGCTTGTCACATTGGATGCAAGGGCTATGGGGATGACTGTCTGAATAATAACAAGCTCGGCTGGAGAATCCTGCAGGATCGGCCGTGAGGGCACCAAGGGACAGGCAGAGCGGAGAGAGGGAGACAGCGATGTGACGGCAGACTGGCTGAAACACTGGATGTCTAGAAGTGTTGTGAATAAACACAGCATGATGCTTTCTGTTCTCCTACACTTAACGTATCAGAACACAAAGCAGTTCATTTGCACAATGCAGTACCTTTCTGCAGGTGTTCCCTTCATTGATTTATTCATATTGCAAGCGCCGACTGCACTTCTCGTGGTCACAGTTTACCACAGTTTGTTTTGTGCCTCAAGGCAGCAGCTCCTGGAGGAATACTGTCTCTGCTTGTTTTCATTCCAGCCGAGATCCACAGCTCCAGTGCTAACTCATGACTTCATTGATCTGCTTGCTTTTTAAACTCTTATTCTGCTCGTTTCTTCAGTAGTCCTGAGTGTCGAAAACGCCCTACTTCCAGGGTACTATTTCCAACAGCGTCAGCACACAGAGCAGCCTCTCCTCAACTTGCTTACCAGTACTACTGACTAAGCAGCTCGTACTGGTGGACAAGTTGATGGCAGACAGACTTGAGCGGAAAGGCGAGAATGAGAAATGTCAGACATGCCCACAATGAGTGGTTTTCCTCCTGCAGAGATCCGGCTGGTTACATTTAAAGACAGCTCACCTGAGTGAGGGTGGTTCTGAAACTCAGAAACTGGTACAAGGTTGATACCAATTACCAATCCCAGTTGGCCTTTTAAGAGCTGAAAGCCCATTTGTAAATATGTCCCAACAGAAAACCCAAGTGAATTAGCCTGTGATTAACGTAACTTTGCCCTCAAATGAAACTCAAGATCAATGTACTTTTGGAATGGATATACCCTATAATAATCTTGAATGATCTTGGAAAGTATACACAGTCCAGGCCTGGATATGGGTCTTGAACTAAATGGCACCCCTTCTAAATCCAGTCTGAACCTTCAGATTTTTTATATGTCTTACTCAGTACACACTAGAAAGACATAACCACAACAGAAACAGGGAGGAAATAAAAACCAACAAAGACATTTGTCTTTTTAAAAACTCATCTTAAAATCTTAATGTTCTGGAGACAAAAACGTATGTCAGCAGTCTTCCATGACCAGGGCTAGCATTCACTGCTTTAAAGTCATTTTTTTTGTTTTGCAACACACTACACTGCATTTAGCATGCACAAACATTTGTGACTGCATGATTAGTTTTTTTTACTGTGTAATAGTGACAGATCGGGTTATAGTGGTGTATTACTTTAATTCCTGTGATCGTGCGATATCTGAGTGGCATCCCTTCAACACTTCATTAACCTATTTTAACATCTGGATGGACTGAGGCATGCACACATTTAACTGCAGTGCTAGTTGACAGCAGTTCAATGAATGAGTATTTCCGAAATCAACATTACCCAGAAACTTTGCATGGACTGCTTTGAACCCAGAGGCAGAGACTACATTTACCTAGAAAAATAAGTGAACGTATAACACAGAAAAATAAAACCTAAAAATAGATGAGCTACTCACATCGGGACTGATTAATGTTTGTATGTTTTGTGCTCTCATTTAAATAATTTATCAGTAGGTGTCAAAAGCAAGGAATTCATTAGGAAGAAAAACAACACTTAACATTTTATTTCCAAGCATGTATCGGTGTGAAAAAGAGCTGATTTTCGTTTCAACAATAAATTGCTGAGATAACACAACAGTGACATATCTTAAATAAATCATTTTCATTGCTAGCTGTGTTTTTTTGACTAACAGTGACTTGTTTTTTGAGAGGATGGGTACATTAATCACAGAATTCATTTAGGAAAGAGATTAGGAAGCAGTTCATTACGCACAGAGTTTTGGGTATCAGGAAGAGGCTTTTCAGACAGATGGTTGAAGCCCAAACTCTGGTTGAAATTTTTGATTCACTTAGCTACTAAACTACCAAACGTGAAAGATGGGCTGAATGCCCCCTTTTGTTAGCAGACTGTTATTATATTATTCTTTATGTAGTCGTTCCTTTCTTGATTTTATAGGTTCTCAAAGCCACTAGGCTCATATCATCAGTTTGGC